CACATACTAAGTGACCCAGCATTTTGCAATCAAACTGTACACAGGCTTGAGTTGACTCTGTCACATAAAGTCACTTAATTCAGGACCACATTAAGTAGATTCACTATAAGAAAACAGATGAAAGTTAACAGCACTGTTACAGTAAAGTGGCCCATCTTTGACCCACAAACCATCATAGCTAAGGGCGCAGATATGCACAACGCTGAAGTCACCTTTCATCACCATCCTGAGAGGTTTAGCTTAAGGCATACAGCACATGTCAAAACAACAGTGGCACACAACATATACTGAAAGCAAACACATATTCTGCAATACTTTTAGAGACAGAGAACTGACACTATGAAATCAGTATTTCAAAATAATCATTTCTATAAATTTAAAGGATACCACGAGTCAAACTCCATTTGGAACTGGTTAGAGAATACACATTTTTCCGTAAGGCAAAAACAAAATTTATACAACTCTCATGAGCATTATCTCTAGAGACAACCTTTATTTTTCCAACACAACCTGAACTCTAAGGAAAGCTTACACATTATTTCTTTAAGAATAAGGAATAAGGAATAGTTCTCTTTCTTAAAGGACATTTTAAAGCTATTTTTTGGGTGTTGGCTGCCTTTTAATCTTTTCTCTGTCAAGATGATCCAACACTGCTTCAATAAGGCTGAGGTCCAGGCTATGGGGAGGCCAATCCATGACTTATACTTTCCACTTTGTGTTTTTCCAATTGAGGTATGCTTCTACTGCAGTGGCAGTGTGTTTAGGATCAATGCTATGCTGAAAAATTAAGATATTTCTAATCAAATGCTTTCCAGGTGATATTGCCTAATGGGTCAAAATCTGATGCTACTTTTCAACTGGGATAACAGCCCCAACAAATTTGTCAGGTCCTTGCCGGATATTTTTCCTAAGCACATGAATTTCCGCTATTGTTAATCTGCTGTACATATCTTTTTAGTCCTGCCACGTATGCTGCCATGATTTATAGGTCAGTGTAAGTATTAATGTTGTCTTAAAAAACATCCTTCTGAAAACTGCCAGGTAGAAGGACTGGACTGAAAATGAGCTAAAATCTGAATAAAGACTTTGAAAGACACTTCAGAAAGCCTGGAGAGATACTGGTTAAGATTCATCCCATATGAAGAAATTAAATATTTCTTATTATCTATTTTGAAATCCTTACTGCAAAATTTCAACAACAATAACAACAATAATAGTAAATAACGTTCAACTTTAGTGTCATCTCTACCATCTAAACCACAAAGACACACTGTAATATTAAGCAGAAATAAGAAGAATAAAACTCATTAACAGCAGGTAAGGATTATACCACAGAAGTTAATATGGCCTAAGGTAGCAACCCAACTCTGTGGGCAAGTGTACTTATTGTGAGATTAAGCAACAGCTAATTACTCACTAGGTAAACAGAAGTACTAGCTACCATCAGGAAATGAAAAGGTAAATGCTTCCTTCCAATATCTGCTTGTTTCAAAGTTGTGGACATGTGGTCTTACAATGTGTGTTACTAAGCTTTTACATCACTTATTCCAATAAATTGTTTAAGCATTGCCTTTTATAACACCAGATATATTTGAAAGGGATCACTAAAATAAACTGAGCTTCCTTAGCATTAGCACCCATTAGCTTTCCAGGCTACTTTGAAAACTTAGCAAAGTTAGCAACGTGCAGTACTGTAAGCTTAGCTGTAAATTTAGCTGGTGCTGTCTCTTGTGCAATGATGGAGAGAAAGCAGGAGCTAAAATTACAGCTATGTTAGCAATATAAACTTAAAGGATGAGCATGCTATGTCAAACTGCCATAACTTATCATATCAGTTGCACCTAACTAGTCTGATGTTACCCAAAGAACGTTAATGCTAAATGCTAATGTTCTGCTAGTAGTCACATAAACTTGAAAACATTCTTTAAGATTCATATTTTGGGAGTGAATGCATCCATTCACTTGTGCTAGCAGAGTTTATTTTCCACCTCCAAGTAATTCATTCATTGCCTGGTAAATAAGATTGAACTAAACTTCAAGTGCAGCCAAGATTAGCCTGCTGGAAGGAGTGTGAAACCCTTCATATGTTTTCACTCCCCAAACAACGTGAAGCCTTGAACTTGTTAAAATTCAAAGGTGCTGCTCTCCTATTTTACTGCATGTCCAGGTCGGGGTAAGTGCTGACCATTCATAGTTGTGCAAATTGGATTAAGAGATTATAGAAAATTGCACAAACTGATGATAAAACAACTGCACGCATATAACTTTCAGTAGCCTGTGCTGTATGTATGTATGACAATAAGTATGTATGACAATAAGAGAACTGCCACAGCCACTGTGGCAGTTCTCTTATTGTCATACTAAAAATGTTAAATCTAGGCCCACGGGATTAAATAAAAAAGAAGAAAGGAGAAAAAAAGTTTGACACCTCTGATTTGTCCAGTGATCGAAAAGCCAACAAAGCTCTCACCGGTTAACTTTCTGCCTGGAAGCTAAAGCATTACTTTCTGTGAAAATACGAGAAACAAAGTCATCTATTTTTATGTTACTGGGAGCAGAATAAACAAGACACACAAAAGAAACCCTTTGTGACAGAAACAAAAAAATAAAAAATAAAAAGCAAGAACGTGGTACAAGCAGTTATGTAATGTGATGAAAGGTAGCAGTCACAGATGGTACAAAACTCACGGATGACTTCTAAATGCAGAACACCAAGCTGGGGGTTCACGTCAAACTCAGGATCTAATATTTCATGGCACTTACGGCATACATGCAGGATTAAACGGCTAGCTGCCAATTATCTTACCAAGCAACCCTCACATATCACAGCACAACATTTCTCTCCTGTTTAACAGTAACACAAAAGTGACACCCCAATCTCTTAAAGAACCAAATAATCTCCGGGAAGCCCCCCCTTTGTTAAACCATGTGTTTTACTCAAGGACATGGGACATAACTATACAGCCCAGCGTCCCTTCCATTGCAAGACTGCACCGCACCGCTGTATGGAGGATCAGGAACACCTTTGAACACATCCACAACAATGAACAGATTTAAGGGCTACTCAGTTCATCACAAAAAAAGCAAAAATAAGACTCAGTTTTATCTTGCCTAACATTTTTATGACTCATCGTACCATCCATCGCTCACGTATGAACTTGAGCATACACACATACACACGCGCGCCTGCTCGTATCAATTAATTCTCAAAATAACACTCGTGCCTTGAAATACACACGTCCCGAAAGTGTCAAAGCTTGATTAAACAAGGGTGTTTAGATGATTATGTTCTAATAATATTTGTGCCTTTGCAGTTCTATTAACCCTGTCGACCCAGACTGCAAAACAAAAAGAGGTCAACAGACAGCCTATATAAGTAATTATTTAATAATAATAATAATAATATTGCCATTTTTCACACATTTTGCTTCCTTCATAAGGGCGGATGCTGAGACTTGCAGCGTCGTATCGCTGTCCTCAATATAAGAGAGGAAAAAGCTCCGTTTGTTGTAAGGAATGCTGAGATGATGAAGGGTTTTAATCGAATCATCTGTCTTGCTCCCATTTTTTTTCTCCCCTCTGTTAGAAGTTGCTTTAACGACAGACACAACACACGCGCAAGCTTCTCTGAGCCAAAGTTCCCAGAATCCATTGCAATTCAAGGTCAACTGACTCTTTTTCTGGCACTTGGCAAGCGCAGTTTTTTTCTTGTGCATTATATGAAAACAATACAGCTTAAACAGCACACAGGTGCAAAAGGTAACTGCTTACATGAAGTGGGTGAATTTAAACAAAAAAAAGAAAAGAACAGATCAGTTTATTTAAGCGTTTAAGTTTTTGAACAGCAGACAGGTGCTACCGACTTCGAGAGTTTTTCCCTCAGCATTGTGTAACCTGCTGTTTGAATATCACTTATGTACTTAGAATAAATCCCGATTTAGTGAAAGCTTTACAATGCATCCTTCTCCAAATTTCATTTCCATCTCATGTCACAAAGAAATCTAAATTCATCCGGATAATCTCTACACAAGTATCAAATTGCAGTGCGGTGTCTTTTGCCCTCAAGTGTCATTGGTGGGGGGGGTGAAAGTGAAATGAAGCAACACAGCGATTTTGACTGTTTTTATCCGGGAAGTATTTGATGTTTAAGCCTTCAAGCGAGGAAGGAAAAGAAAAAAAAAA